ATGGTGGTGGTTACAATCAAGATAGCCAACAAACAGGAGGTATGTCATGGGTTCAAGGACAAGATAATTATTATGCCACTCAAGATACTGATCATGGCTATCGTTCTGGCATAGAATCACAACATCAATTCCTCAATAATTTAACTCAATTTTCAAGTGAGGATACTTTCTCTCACCATTTAGGGTCACAAAGATATAGAGGAATCGATGATCAGATGCAAAATTTGGGTATACACTCAACCTATGAGCATGAATCTAGCCAAAACTGTAGTACAAGTCAATTGGGATATGGCTATGACTAATCATATGGAATCACTCCTGACTATTACAGTGGATATCAGCTATTTGATGGATCTGGACAGATCGATAGGTCTACTAGCATTCATGGTAGTGGATACTATGAAAAAGAAATAGATAAATCTCATGATGGTTTTTCTTTTGATTCCAATAACATTGGGTTTTATGGTCATGATTCTACTGCATCATATGATACTAGCGATAGTGTTAACTATCGAGGGTTTGGATACTACCATCATACTCAGCAATTCATCTCCAATCCAGAAGTTCTTCCATCTAGTGATTATGGAACATCTAGTCAATCCTCACATCCAGTAAATATACCAGATAACTCTTATACACTACCTAGTCAAGGTCTTATGCCACTTCCACATCTGTCTTACCATTCATCGAGAAATGAGGGTGATTTTGAACCATATCGTCATTCTACTTGGTAGTAACAAGTACGAAAATATAAAGTACTAGTATATCTTTTTATATATTTGCCTTTTATTTAATATGATTTCTTTTTATTGTTGGTAGAAGATTGATCAAATATTCCAACTTTATGCTATAAATAAATCCTTAGTTTGTATTGTTAATGGTTGATATTACTTTTGCAATTATTAGTTTTAAAATTGTGGTCTATGTTATTTTGATTTTATTTGTGATGCCATTGTCTTAAATAATTAAAAGTACTTATTGTTTTTAATATGTATAAAAATAGTACATTTTACAAATTTTCTTTTGCTATTTTTTTATTATTTTTGTTTTGCATATTTTTTTTATATTATTAACAATTTTTAGAATATTAAATACTTTAAAATTTGAGTCTCACCGAGACCGTGACCGATATGCCGAGACCGATGCGGAACGTTCCGAACTGCGACCGCGACTTTGAACCATGTTCGCAACATGTCAGTAACTGAGGGCATATAGGAATATCTCCCTGCTTAGGATCGCTTTACAGCAGGCCTTACTTAATGTCGGTTCTTTAACAGACATAAGAGAGAGGATAAGGTAACATATGCATACAATTAACCTGCTTCGACTGGGCCAAGCCAGTATAAAATACTTTTAGAGTGCTCCAAAGAAACGAATAGTCCAGGCCATTATATTGCAGACATTGCAGGTGTGGCATTAGCATTAGTACTAATAATCCAAGTTGTATCAGCATTAATAGACTGAGTAACTCAACACAATCTATGCAGAGATATGAACTCTATGATTGTATAAAGACAAGAATGTGTCGCCTTCCATCAGCTTCATTTTCACCAAAATTATATTTATCTCAATTAGCCTACAAAATCAGCTATGCTTTTGTAATTTCATATTGAATACTGAAGAGGTGATTTTTGACTTGACAAGGTGGCCCGAAGGTCAGAAAGTCTTCTTGGCTGAGGAGGTCACCACAATAGGATCACCTGCTTAAATTATAAGAAGATGGGTGGAATCCCCCGGTATAGCTCCGAAACTTAAGTTAGTTAGGATCGAAACAATGTGGGAAGATGAATATTAGCCTTTTTACCAGAGATTTTGCGTCCCCTTTCTCAGTGGGAGCTCCCGCTATTTATATAGGACAATCAGGAGAAAGAGAGAAGCTGTGGGTGCAGGTCCTTAGAAATTTGATGTAGACAGCGTATCACACTGATTTGATCGGACTCTGCAAGGGGCAGTGTGTCAGAGCAGCCGCCAGTCATACGTCAGCGTGTGTCAGAGGTTACATCCAATACTTTTCCAGTTGTCCAACCCTTAGGCATCACTTCGGCGGTGTGAGCTACAGCTCCGACCGAGATGGGAACAAAAGTTGAGTTCACCCAGGTCGCCTAAGGGTACAGGATGTCCGGGGTGGAACTATCAGGGATTTAGTCTGTGGGATGTGTGGACTTTCGGGATATCCGAACCGATTTGACCATCCTCACTAAGCCCCCAAAGCTTCGGGAAGGGCGAGCTCGTTGCTTCCCGAGGCTGACGAATGGTTCTGGAACATGAAACACAGAAATGACACATAATATACGCGCGGATGGGACTGGAAGGAAGATGAAGAGATGGCTGGCAGCTTTATCGACAGGGTCATGAATAGACTCGGAGTCAGCAGTCAGTCGAACAGCCTTTTCATTAATGAGGAGAGAGAACGTTTCCTCGAGAACCCCAAAGGTGCCGCCCTTTCAGTTTCTTACTGCTGGCCTATAAAAAGAGGGTTCCTTTCACCATTTCATTCTCTTCCACAAAAATCTTCAATCTTCTCAGAACAAATTTTCGCTATATTTTCATCTTGACAATTCTCGAACTCCCAACTTCCTTTTAAGAGTAAGTTTCCCTTCTTCCTCCTTTACTTATGGCTAGAACAGCCCGCACACACAAGGAAACAGTGAGGCCAGACTTCACCGAAACAGAGAGGCCCGACCCTACCGAAGAGAGAACAGCTTCCGAGCCCAGGGAAGATGCTGCCGGAACATCTTATCAGACCGGTACACATCAAGAAGAGAGCGAAGAAGAGACTAAGATCCTTTACAACGATGACCTCGGTATGGAGATACCACGGGACGAGAGCGTTCAAGAGCCAGTCACTCCTCTGTACCTAGTAGCAATTGACTACGGCCAGGTCCCCATGTTCAGCAGCATCATGAGCCAGACTTTGATAGCCGAGATGATTCGCAAGTACCTCTGGCGGAAGCACTACAGCATCTACCCTCCTCGGCCAGATCAGTCAGCCGAGCTCCCACCTAGGGGTAGGGTTGTCATTTACGCCGACCAGCTAGAGGCCGAACTCAGAGTGCCAACCATCAGGTTCCTCCGAGATTGTCTGAGGTACTGGGGGGTGAGGATCACTCAACTCACCCCCAATGCAATCCGGGCTCTCATCAATTTTCAAATGCTGTGCCGACACCAAGAGATAGCCCCCACCATCAACTTCTGCCGTCGCTGTTACTCGATAAAGAACAGTGGAAGTGAGAAGGGGTGGTTCTACTTCGGGAACAAGGTCCCAAAGTTGGTGTTAGATGCCCCCACCTCTATTAAGGAGTGGAAGCGCAATTTCTTTTTCGTCCCGGTAGACGACTTCCCCAGGGGGTTCTGGTGAAGACCTCCTACCTCGGTCAAAGAGACCTCTCCGGGTAATCTGGATGAAAAGAATTTCCGGAATCTGGTGGGGTAGGACCTCAAGATCAACTGTTGGGCCTTCCCTGAGGCAGTTCTTGTTGACGGCGGGATTAATCGAGCTCTCATCAGTCCGGGCCATCCGCCCTTCTTTTCTACTAGACTTCAGAAACATTGTATTGTTTCGTTCCTAACTTTGTTTTTCCTTTCCCTCGATTCTGAATAACTGTGCTTTTGTACTTTACAGTGGTGAGAGTTTCTGATCTGATCACTTCGGGCACCGCCGAGGTAGCAAAGAGGCTGACAAAACGCAAGGATACTACCGAGTCCTCTACCCGGCCGAAGAAAAAAACCGCCGCGGCAACAGCAAGCCGCGACTCCCCAGTACTAGTCATGGGAGAGGGCTCCCGTGCCTCGGCTATTCCAGGGGGCACCTCAGCTATTCCGACGGGGGTGTCCATCCGCGGGGTGACGATAGCTTCTCTGCCCCGGGGCCGGGGTGTGACCTTATTTCCCGAGGCCCCTGTCACGGGGTCGTCGTTGTTTAACCTCCACCCCATACCTTCCCAAGAAGTCAGGAAGGATAAGAGGCAACTAATGTCAATGACCGCTGCAAGAATCCCCTCGTCGCGCAGGAACTCCTGGTGCATTCAGTGCTGCCAAGGGACAGCACCTATTCCAGGAAGCTTACTCCGGGCGGGCTGATGCAGAGTGCTTCAGTTTCCTGGGCCTCTACCACGGCTTTCATTGCTGAGATGATCTAGCGCTATACCAAGTTGGTGGAAGCCTATCAACCATCCTCCGAGCTCCAGAAAAAGGTAACCGAGTTAGAAGAGAAATTGAAGGCCATCGAGCAGGAGCGCGACAAGGCCGAAGCAGCTCGGGAGCAGACCGAGGCCACCAAGAACTCCCTAATGAAGGCCCTAGATGAAGAAAAGGAGAGGAGGGCCCAAGAAGAGCAATCAGCTCGGGAGGCAATAGAGAAGGCCGGAACCTCGGCCTTAGAAGTTTTCAGCAAGTCCGAGGCCTTTACCCGTGACCTCGGCGAGCTCACGCTGCTGAGTTTCATGTTTGGATACACCTCGGCGGTCAACGACGCGGCGCCTTTCCTTACCTCCGAGCAGTTGGAGTCCCTCCAAGATAAGCCGAACTTCAACAAGGATGCTAAGGAGTTGTGCGACCGTATGGCAGAGGGCATCCAAGCTGGAAAGGATCTGGCCGAAATCCGGACCGAATTCAACAAGTGACTCCAAGAGTTTGACCTGGATGGACTCGGTGGAGGCGAAACCGGCGGAGAGACCATGGGTGATCCTGACACTGAGGTCGGTGGGGAGACTACCGGAGACTACGGCACCGGGATAGAGAATGCGTATAAGCATTCCTAGCCTTGTTACTTTTGTAACCAAGCGCCGAGTCGTATATGCTTTGGAACATTCCGTACCTCGACTTTTTGTAATCGCTCTTGATTTATTGTTAATACTACTGACTTCTTATCTTTTCATGTTTGAACTCGGCTTTCTTCTCGTATTCTTTGTCCCATTATTTTTCACTTAGAATAAGATGATACTAAGGGAGAAATAACTCAGAATAAGCTGAATAACTCGTACCAAATAAGTACATACCCTTCAAGGGTGATACAATTTGAGATTCTCAGCATGCCAGGTTCGGGGTACTCGGGAACCATTTCGGTAAGCTAATGTGCAATATCCATTTTGACTAGACCTGATAACGCGGTAGGGTTCCTCCCACCTAGGGGTTAATTTGCCTTGAGGTTCAACTCGGCTAACTGAATTTTTGCGGAGCACAAGATCTTCCGGACTGAACCGTGGGTGTCTGACTCGAGCGTTATAGTAGCTAGTTAGGATGTTCTTATATAGTGCGACTTTGGCTGCTACGATGTTCCACTTCTCTTCGATGAGATCGAGGTCTACTCGCATTTCCTCTTCATTCACCTCGGCAGCGAAGGCTGCCATGCGTGGACTTGGGGTGATAAACTCGGCGGGAACCACGGCTTTAGATCCATAGGTTAAAGAGAACGGGGTCTCTTGTGTTGCGGATTTCGGCGTATTTCGGTAGGACCACAACACACTGGGGAGCTCTTTCACCCAAGATGACCCCTCTCGATGCAATCTGGTTTTGAAACCGTGGAGGAGTGTACTATTGAAGTTCTCGGCTTGCCCATTGGCTTGTGGATGGCCAACCGAGGTGAAGTGCTGCTTGATCCCAAGATTCTCGCACCATCTCTTAAAGGCGTTGTCAGCAAACTGCTTGCCGTTATCCGAGATGATTACCCGTGGTAATCCAAAGCGGCAGACCACATTCTTCCAGAAGAATTTTCGGACCGCTGAACCAGTTATACTTCTTAGGGGTTCGATTTCGATCCATTTGGTAAAATAATCCACCACCACCACTAGATATGCATAGTTGCCTGGGGCTCTGGGGAATGGACCAATTATGTCAGTTCCCCATTGTTCGAACGGCCATGACGAGGTGATCGGGATCATAAGGTTGGTCAGCTGGTGGTGCTCAGGAGCGTGATGTTGGCAAGAAGGGCAGCTAAGAACCATGAACTGGGCATCTCACCAAACGGTTGGTCAGAAGTACCCAAGCAATAGGACCTTCTTGACTAGCATCCGATAGCCAACGTGTGCACCACAGAGCCCCTCGTGGATGTCTTGGAGGATTCTTTTCCCTTCTTCTGGTGTGGTACACCGCAGCCACGGGTCGAGGTACGATCTCTTGTACAAAACGCTTTGCCAGAGAGTGTACCGACCTGCTTTACGCTGAAGTTTTCTTGCTTCAACTCGGTCTTCTGGGAGCTCTTCTTGACTGAGGAACCGAATTAGCGGACTCATCCAGGTGTCCCCCCGATAAACAGGACACACGGTTTCTTCTGCATATCCTGGTTCGGCCAATACTTCTACGAGAACTGTTTTGTTCAAGTCAGAGAAGGAAGTGGATGCGAGCCGAGATAAGGCGTTAGCCCGTTTATTTTGTGACCGGGATATCCTTTGAATTTCGAAGGACTCGAAGTGTGCTGTTAACTGGCGGACTTTGGAGAGGTAAAGCTGCATGACCTCTACTCTAGCCTCGTACTGGCTGAGTACCTGGCACACAACGAGTTAGGAGTCGCTGTTGACCAAGATGTGCTGAGCACCGAGCTTATGAGCCAGTTGCAGGCCGGCAATGACTGTCTCATATTCGACCTTGTTATTAGAGGCAGCGAAATCAAACCTGAGGGCGTACGAACACAACTCCCCTTGGGGGTCTTCTAGGAGCAAACCGACTCCACTACCCTCGTTGTTAAACGAGTCGTCCACATGCAGGATCCACCGCTGAGGCCCAATAGTGGTTGAGGTGGACTCATTCGCTTCATCGAAAGTGAGTTCGGTTTTAAAGTCCGTAAAGGCTTGTGCTTTGATGGCCGTCCGGGGCTCATAGGACAGATCGTATTCCCCAAATTCGATGGCCCATTTAGTGAGATGCCCGGAAGCCTCGGGGCGTGACAAGACTTGTCTGAGGGGCTGATCGGTCCTCAAGCAAATGTGGTGAGCTAAGAAGTAGGGTTTCAGCCTATGAGCTGCGTAGATCAAGGCCAGCACGAGCTTCTCTGCTTGAGTATACCTGATCTCAGGACCTCGAAGGACTCGGCTAACGTAATAGACGGGTATTTGCACACTCTCTTCCCTTATTAGCACGGCACTCACGGACTCATCAGCGGCAGATAGGTATAGGTATAGCTTATCCCCAATCCGAGGTGAAGTTAGTGTTGGGAGGTGGTGTAGGTATTCATTTAGTTGCTCAAAGGCCTGCTGGCACTCTCCTGTCCAGGAGAAGTTGTCAGTTTTCTTCAGGACCTTAAAGAAGGGCAATGCCTTGGAAGCAGATTGCGACAGAAATCGGTTCAGGGCTGCCAGTCGCCCTGTAAGCCTTTGCACATTTCGGGTGCACCGAGGTGGAGACATTTCCTGGATCGCCTTCACCTTGTCAGGATTTGCCTCTATACCCTGCCGTGAGATGAGGTATCCCAAAAATTTTTTCGAGGTGACTCTAAAAATACATTTCTTGGGGTTCAGCATCATTTGGATATTACGGAGGATTTCGAGGACCTCCTTCAGGTCGAATAGGAAAGTGGAGATCTTCTGACTTTTGAGGAGGATGTCGTCCACATAGGTTTCGACATTTCGACCTATTTGAGATTTGAAAGCTCGATTGATCGAGCGCTGGTAAGTGGCCCCGGCGTTTTTCAGTCCAAAGGGCATGGTGGTGTAACGGTACACACCTTGATCTGTGTAGAAGGCCGTCTTCTCCTGTTCCTTCTCGTTCATCCCGATCTAGTGATACCCCTTAAAGGCATCGAGAAAACAGAAAATTTGTAACCCATGGCCGAGTCCATCAGGGCGTCGACTTTAGGCAATGGGTAGCAGTCCTTAGGACAGGCCTTATTCAGGTCGATAAAATCGACGCACATTCTCCAGGCCCCCGTGTCCTTCTTGACCATGACCGGGTTGGATAACCAGGTCGGGTACTGCACTTCTCTGATCATCATCGCAGGCAGGAGTTTGTCCACCTCCTCGCCTACTGCTTGACTACGCTTTGGGCGGAAGTGCCTTCTCTTTTGTTTGACCGAGCGTGCCTGAGAATCAACATTCAGCTCGTGTATTATGAGGTGATGAGGCACACCTTGGACCTCATAGGCAGCCCAAGAAAAAACATCCCGGTGCTCCTTGAGGAGATCAACCATCTGTATCTTAAACGAGTCAGGCAAATGGACGCCGACGCGGATGGTCTGATCGGGCCTGGAGAGGTCCAAGGGGATATCCTCTACCTCATCTCCGGTCTTTAGCTTTTTCGGCTTCCCGGTCTGTTGAGAATCGATACAATCGATTGAGAGGATACTGGACCTTCTCTCTGGCCTCGTTCCGGAGGTTGAGATAGAGACGGCTTCCAAGGTGGCGAGGTAACATTCTCGCGCAGCACCTACGTCACTGCTCACCTCGGTCACGCCTGCCGGAGTTGAAAATTTGAAGATTAAATGATACGTGGAGTATACTGCACGTAAACCGTTAAGCGTAGGTCGGCCCATCAATAAATTATAAGGAGAGTCAGTTTTGACCACGACGAAGTTAACGGGGACGATACGGCAGCAGGGATGATGTCCTACAGTCACCATCAGTGTGACCATCCCTTCCGGGTACACAACGTGTCCCCCGAACCCTACCAGGGGGTTCTAACAGGGGTTAGCTGCTCCTTGGTCAACTTTAGACTCTCAAAAGTTATGAAATACATAACGTCCACCAAGCTCCTTGGGTCAACGTAGACCTTCTTAACGATGTAGTTATTAGTGAGCACCTCAATCACCAGAGTTTCATGACTGCCAGAAGCAGTGGGACGGGGTCACTGGGACAGGAAGAGATCACTTCGGATAGGTGAGAGCTCGACTCGGCCTGATCCGGGTTGGCTTGCCTGTAGGTCCTCTTTCGGGAGTTTTGACTATCCCCTCCCGTTGGACCTCCGGCAATGGTGTTGATAACCCTGACGATATTCGACCCGTACCCTAGTCCGTGACTCGAGGACCCGTCTCGGGGAGGCTTTTTTGTTTCCCTAGGATCTTCAGGGGGTCGGCAGCTGCTTCTCGATACTCGTCTTTGGTCATCTCGGCCCTCACATCGAGAGTCATTGCGTTGATGACCTCCATCTCGACGGATGAACTGCTTCAAGTGCCCCTATTTGATGAGGTGCTCTATCTCTCTTTTAAGGTCGTTGTAGTCTTCCGTTTCATATCCGATGTTCCGGTGATATCTCTGCTCCCGAACATCTTTGGAGGGGCACGTCCGAGGTTGTTCTGCTCCATTACGGAGAGTACTCGGGATCGGGTGGTGTTTAAAGAGGTTAGCTCGGATTCAGGGATATGTGACTTCCCCTTGGCTATCCTGTCAAACACACTTCGACGATCCCAATTAGGACTTTGGAAGCCACCGTTAATACCGGCTTCACTTCGGCTGGTTTCTTTCTTCCTTTGGGAATCAGTTCCCGAGCGAGCTGTTTGGACTTCTTTTTTCATGCAGTTGAGATCCTCGGCCTGTATGTCTTTTTCAACTTTCGACCAGAGGTCTTGGAGTGTGCGGGGGTACTTCTTGTGTATCCCAGTATTAAATACCCCGGCAACGAACCCGTGGGTAAAGACAGCTATTGTAACATGTTCATTGGGATCAGGTATCTGCACGCTCTCCTCATGAAACCTCTGTACATAGGATCGAAGTGACTCTCCTGGATTCTGCTGTATATTCAGCAGATAAGTCGAGATTCTGGTCGTAGGCCTAGAAGATACAAATCGGTGGAGAAATCTCTCCACTAATTCCCCCAGGGTAGATATGCTCCTAGGTTCTAAACCCCAGAACCATTTTCGAGCAGTTCCTTGAAGGAATACTGGAAAAACCCGACAGATGACGGGATCGGGAATGCAATATATCCGGAAAGCCGAGATGAAAGCATGAATATAATCCTCAGGATCACCTCGGCCGTCATATGAAGATATGGAGGGAAGTTTGAAGTTCGGGGGAAGCCTTTCCTCGTTGATGTCATCCGTGAAAGGTGGAGCCCTCATGTAATCCACCCCTAATCTCCCCTAGGGCCGAGGTTCTTCCTCAGGTCGTCGTCCTAATAGCTCTCGAGAAAAGGCCTTGGTTAGGAAGGCGACCTTAGAAGTAGCCTTGGATATGGCTCGCTTCGAAGCGCTCCGGCTTATATGCCTCCCATCAAACTCCTCATTAGATGAATTTTCGGGGGATCCATCCGACTTTCTTTTAAAGGATTCGACCATTTGTTTGCCCTGCCTCTTGAAGTACCTCCTTAACTCTTCGAAGATGTTAGGGTTCTCTTTCACAAACTCGGTCATACGGGTTATGGCTTCTTCGTTTGCGGGATGGGTCCTTGAGGACTCTTGCCCTTCAGAGGAATTTTCTTGTTGGGCTGCCCCACTTTGCTCAGCTCCAATAGTGAGAGCCTTCCTGCTCTTAGAACGCGTAGGCCTCATCTTCTGATGTCTTCGACTTCCCACAGACAGCGCCAATTGAAGAGGTGTTTTTTGACTTGACGAGGTGGCCCGAAAGTCAGAAAGTCTTCTTGGCTGAGGAGGTCACCACAATAGGATCACCTGCTTAAATTATAAGAAGATGGGTGGAATCCCCCGGTATAGCTTCGAAACTTAAGTTAGTTAGGATCGAAACAATGTGGGAAGATGAATATTAGCCTTTTTACCAGAGATTTTGCGTCCCTTTTCTCAGTGGGAGCTCCCGCTATTTATATAGGACAATCAGGAGAAAGAGAGAAGCTGTGGGTGCAGGTCCTTAGAAATTTGATGTAGACAGCGTATCACACTGATTTGATCGGACTCTGCAAGGGGCAGTGTGTCAAAGCAGCCGCCAGTCATACGTCAGCGTGTGTCAGAGGTCACATCCAATATTTTTCCAGTTGTCCGACCCTTAGGCATCACTTCAGCGGTGTGAGCTACAGCTCCAACCGAGGTGGGAACGAAAGTCGAGTTCACCCCGGTCGCCTAAGGGTACAGGATGTCCGAGGTGGAGCTATCAGGGATTTAGCCTGTGGGATGTGTGGGCCTTCGGGATATCCGAGCCGATTTGACCATCCTCAAATATCATAGCCAAACTTTTGTTTGCTTAAATCAAAATCTAGGAGCGACACCCAGTATGTTTTCATGAAATATTTTGCAAAGTCCTATCCAAAAAAAAAAAAAAAAAAGAGTAGCTCTAGGCAATGGTAAACTTAGAACCCATACAGCGAATGATAATATTGTCTTTTTAAACGAGCATATGATAACGAATGGAATCCTTTGTCTGTAGTAATCTGGGCAATTATAAGCCAGGGTAAACAATGAAATGACTCTAAACCGTAGTAATATGCAAAGAGCCACTGACACTTGAAGATACCAATTCTTTTCACATAAAAATGCAACAACTTTAATTTGTTCCTTTTTTTGAATTCGTTGTTCAATCATCCCGTCCTACCAAAAAAAGGGAAGGTGCAAAGCAACAAATGGCAACACAATTTTAATCCACAGCTTTGACAAACGAATTATCCAAAAATTCATAAGCAAATCTAGCCGTGAAGCTTGCCCACGTCAAGGCATGGAAAAGTGCAAAAAAAAAAAAAAGAAACTCAAAAGCAAGGGAATGCTCACAAAAAATGCCGATTTCGGATGCCATGCACCAAAGCTCTTTGTTCGGCCTCTTTTCCCCTTCGGCAGATTGCAGCTCTGACCAGGATAGTGCCTATTTTAGAGAATCCCGCTCGTATGTGAATCCCAACAAGATTGTTGCTTTGCTAGATTGGTGAATCCCTGAAGTTGGACACCAATCTATGAAATTTGAAGCTCAGCTTCGGTTGGAGTTCAGCGAAGCAACATTACAAGTTTGCGATTGAAAGGTGGCTACTGCTTTTTCAATTCGATAAAAGGAGGGAGCAGGATGAGAAAACAAAAGCCAAAAACAAGTCTTTTGTTCCAAGGCCAAAAACGATGTAGCATTAGAAAACATATATTGTGTACTCAGCTATTTTTTATTTTTGAACTCCTTTTTTGATGTGTTATTTAATTAAAGACAAAAATAGTATTGCAAAATAATTTAGTGCTATTAACTCAAAAGCACTAATGAGAGAGGTCATTTACATAGTTAAGGTGTCCTTTTTTTGGGTTGTTACAATAGTCAAAGATCCTAATCCTAGAGTAACAATGCATATGTTAAAAGGAGGGTATTTTAACAGCAGAACATAGTAACAGCGAAAGCTTGGGGCCAATGCTTCTTCCTTTCTTACACAAATTTTAGGGTGTATTTGATCAAACTAAAACCTAAAACCTGCAATCTGAAATCCGAAATTTGAATTCATTGAGTTATTAAATTGTTAAATATTAAATCAAATACATTTGAATGTATATCACATTCAGTAATAAGTGAATAACGTATCACTTATTTTTTAGAGCAAGTTTTCCCTAAAAAATTCAGTGACACTTAATTAATTCAAATGTTCAATTTTTTGTTATCAAATCTATTTTAACATATTAAGATCTAAATTTATTAAATTTAAATGTTGAATTGAAATATGAAATAAAACCCAGTAGATTTGGAACATTGAAACTCTTCAACATAGGAGATGTTTCTTCATCTACAAAGCTTCTAGCTGTATTATTGATTTATCTTTTTACCTCCCATAGACAACTTATCCCATGTCTCCGGTAGGTAGCATTTGCATTTCTTTTGAACAATATTCAAACCAAGTCAAGGAGTTAACTGTGTATTAAATCAGTGTAACCCAAAAAATTATAATAAAAAACTATAGAAAGTAAACTTCATAGAACCAATGTAGATGGAGAGGCAAATTACACACATACATATACATGTGCAGGAGAAGAGAAATAAATCAACCATATATCATTATTACACTTGATAACAAGGCTCTCAAATTTCACTCTTTTAAATGACGACAATAATTAGCTGACAACAATAATAACTCTCCCTATTTATAGACTAGATGGTTTGGTAAAGAAGTCTTACACTATTAGAAATTTTCTAATAAATAACTAATTTCTAAACAATAAAACTACTATAACTTAACTCCAATAAAATTAATAAAACCTTAACTTAATTAAAACACTGTTAAATAATAATATAGAAAATTTTTATTTTTGAGCCTTGATTTAATACGCCAACAAAATCCTTTGAAACCACCGCCAAGTAGTCAACTGTGCTCTAAACATGTTGTAATTTCCCTTTGCATGGTGCTCAGCGAGGTCACGAATTCAGGACGAACCAAAGGTAGGACACACATCATATCATTGAACTTCGGCTCATTGCTGGCACACTGATGTCGAGCATTGAACTCATGAAATTGTCCGAGCAACGTTAGTAACTCCAAAAACCTTAAGCTTCAGAGAAATTCATAAAACAATGAGCTTGAAACCTTACGCAAAGCAAAATTCAAAACACAAAAATATCAGAATGCTAACCTTCACCTCATCCTTCTGGTGGCTTATGGCACTTAGACAAATTATTCATGACTTCATCCCAAGCTGTAAAAGAAGGTTAAATATAGATTTTGAAGAACTGATATTATTAATATCAGGGCAAGGAGAGTTCTTACAAGGGAGGCTGCGGAAATCAGGCTCAACCCCATTGCCATTTATGTCCATGTGATTTGGTGTAACATACTTCCCAACAGTGACAACAACGCCAGATCCATCATGCAGCTCAAAAACAGATTGAATCAGTCCCTGCAGGAACAAAATTAATTTGATCACCCATTATAGCATATCCAATGTGGGAATTCCTTTTACCTTTTCTAGTACTTTACTGCTAAGATGAAGAGATGAAATTTTCAATAGCAGGATGTAAACAGCAACATCATGAAGACCAAAGATCATGAGATTATCTTGGACATGGAGTATTTAATGGACTTGGCTCAAATATCAGAATAAATTAGTAAAAGCTAGGAACTTTTATTTATCATGTCAGGGCCAAAAAACTAATGTAGGTTACAATACTGATTCTATGTAGATAGCTGCATTGAAGCTCCGTCAAGTTTAGGCAAGTTTATCCAATATAGAATAACCAACAAAAAGTCCATAATCCATGTCTATTCTATATGGCAACTCCGAGGTTTAATGCTGTTAAGAGAATATAAGTATTATTGTAGATAATAAATTAGTAAGGGTATTTTTGTAAATAGTTTGTTAGGATTGTACTCCTATAAATACTAGTTGGTCACTCATAATATGGTGACTAGATGTTTTCCTCCCAAAATACCTGTTATCATGGTATCAGAGCAAAAGTCCTAGGGTTAGGGTTAAACATCTAGCAAAAGTTTTGGTCATCGCGACTGTTCATAGGTACTGTTCACGCGCGCACTGTTCACGGACTGTTCACGCGCTGTTCATCGGTACTGTTCACGCGCTGTTCATCGGTACTGTTTACCGCGACTGTTCACGGGGGCACTGTTCATCGGTACTGTTCACAGACTGTTCACGCGCACTGTTCACGCGCCACTGTTCACGGCACTGTTCACGCGCTGTTCATCTCGAGTTTTGACCCTTCGTTTGGTTTGGAGTGCTATTCGCTATGGCTGAAAGTCTATCAAAAGGTATTGTGACGTCTACTAATATTATGCCAATGGTGATGCCTCAAATCACAAATTGGAAGTTGAATGACACTAATTATCAACAGTGGTCAAAAGCCGTTAAGATTTATCTGACAGGCTTAGGAAAGCAACGATATCTCACAGATGACTCTCCTACGGAGGACAACAAGAAACTAGTGTGGATTCAAGAGGATGCCCAAATTCTTGGAGCAATATGGAATTCTATGGAGCCACGAATTGCTTACATGTGTTCTCATTGTGAGACAACAAAAGAAGTTTGGGATTATGTCCGGTTATTATACTGTAGTAATCTTTCACGGATGTATGATATTTCTTTGGAGTATTTTCAGTTGCAACAAGATAACAAGACAGTAACTGAATACTTTGCTGATCTGAAGCGAGTTTCAGAAGAATTAAATGCCGTAATGCCTCTCTCAAGTGATATTACAGTTATGCAGA